TCTAAACATACCCTTACCATACAACCCAGCAATCACACTCCTTGGCACTTACCCACAGGAGTTGAAAACTTATACCCACACAAAAAATATGGATGTTTATAGTAGCTTGGTTCATGATTGCCAAATCTTGGAAGAAACCAAGATGTACTTTAGGAGATTAATAAATAAGTAAGCTGTGGTTCAAATTACAGTTATAATGGTTTATTCTCAATTCAACTTGTTTTTTTTTTTTTTAAAGACAATTCTTTTTACAGCGGTTTTAAGTTCACAGCAAAACTGGGAGGAAGGCACAGAGATATTCCATATAGTAGCTTTGTTCATGATTGCCAAAACTTGGAAGAAACCAAGATGTACTTTAGGAGATTAATAAGTAAGCTGTGGTACATCCGGACGATGGAATGTTGTTCAGCACTTAACACCAATGAGCTATCAAACCATGAGAAGAGATGGAAGAAAATAGGCTGCGTACTATGATTCCAACTGTATGGCATTCTGGAAAAGGCAAAATTATGGAGACAGTAAATTAAGGTTAAGTGGTTGCCAGAGTTTGCCAGGTTGGAGTTTGAGGGCAGGAAAAGAGAAATAGGCAAAGCACAAAGGATTTTAAAGGTAGTAAAAATACTCTTTATGACACAATTGAGATGGATATATCATTATAAATTTGTCCAAACCCATAGAATATACAACACCAAGAGTGAACTCTATTGTAAACTATGAACCTTGGGTGAAACAGTCAATAAAGTTTCATCAATTGTAACAAATATATCACTCTGGTGGAGGTTGTTGGTAATGGAGCAGGCTGTGCATATGTGGCGAGAGGGGTTATATAGGATACCTCTGTGTCTTCCTCCCAGTTTTGCTGTGAACCTAAAACTGCTGTAAAAAGAATTGTCTTAAAAAAAAAAAAACAAGTTGAATTGAGAATAAACGATTATAACTGTAATTTGAACAGACATTTTAGAACATTACCATACAATATGTGAGGAAAAGGGAAGCTGAGAATTTTCCAGAACTGATGAAAGATATCAATATACAGATTAAGAGACCCAATGAATCCCCAAAAGATAAATAAGTAGTAATCTACACCCTAGTAGTATAACTGCACAAAACCGGACATATACAAAGACATAATCTTAAAACCAACCAGAGGAAAAAGGCAGATAACCTTTAAGGACTTGATTGACAACTGACTCTTCAAAGGGCTACAAGAGGAGCCAGAGATTGTAGGAGGGTTTGAGAGAGGAGAGGAGAGGAGAATGAGGAAGTTAGAGCGAGAGTGAGAGAGAGAAATAGAATACTACTCAATTCGTTTTATGAAAGTAGCGTAACTTTGCTACCAAAAGCTGACAAATACAGGATGAGAAAGGAAAAATTATAGGCCAATCTCTTCCATGAACATAGATAAAAAATAAAACCCTAAACAAAATATTAGCAAAACAAATTTAGGAATAAAATTAATAATACATCATGGGCTGGGTGTGGGCGGTAGCTCACACCTATAATCCTAGCACTCTGGGAGACCAAAGCAGGAGGATCGCTTGAGGTCAAGAGACTAACCTCGGGCAAGACTGAGACTCCGTCTCTACTAAAAATAGAAAGAAATCTGAACAACTAAAAATAGAAAAAATTAGCCAGGCATGGTGGCATAGGCCTGTAGTCCCAGGCACTAAGGAGGCTGAGGCAGGATCGCTTGCACCCAGGAGTGTGAGGTTTGAGTTAGGCTGATGTCACAGCACTCTAGCCCAGGCAACAGAGTGAGACTGTCTCAAAAAATAATAATAATACATCGTGATCAACTTGGGTTTATTCCAGGCATGCAATGTTCTGATGTATTAATACAATGGAACACTATAAGGTAATAAAATAAATGAACTACACCTACATGGAACATAGGTAAAATCTCAGAGTTGAGTAAAGGAAGTAAAACCTAAGAATTCATATAATGATTCCATTTATATTCAAAACCAGACAAATCAAAACCTAGCCCTCTGTAGATGACAAACTTTAAAGGAGACAATTACTTTAAATGTCAAAAACATAGTTACCTCTAAAAGTGGGGTGTGGTTAAGAGATTTATGCTGGCAATATTCTGCTTAGATGTTCCTATCTTGCAGTTATTCACTATATTGTGTATTTATATTTTATATACCTTTCTAAATTTTATATTTCAAAGTAGAAATATCATATTCAAACTTTCCAATAATACAAAAAACCAGTCTCCAATAATCCCAGCCCAACAGACTATACATCCTTCCACATGGCATATACTTTGCTTTTATTTCATTTTGCTGTTTTAGGGAAGTTCCATAAATCTGCCCTAAGCTATCACCTTCCTATAGATTAAACCCCCTTGTCCTACTCCCAGTCCTTCAAATCACAAATAACCAGGCTAATTCCTCTTCTCAGTCTTTAAAATCTAACATCTATTATATCCCAGGGACCTTCTCTAGCCACCCCTGCCCATATATTCCTCCCATTCCCAATATGTACATTTCCTCTCTAAACAATACATTGTGGTTCTTTCATCTGTCCCCCATGAATATGGTTCAAGTCTTTCCAAGTAGCTTCATATTTAAGCACGTTCCTTTAAGCTTGGTTCTCAGATGGAATCATTTTAGGTACAAACTAGAGCAGGACTTTCACTAACACCTCTCCCTCTACTTGAAAGAGACTGAAAATACTGCAAAGAATTTGGACTTAAAGATATAAGGCCCTGGGTTTGTCATTGCTGTGGTCTGAATGTGTCCCCCAGAATTCATGTGTTGGAAACAGTACTCAGTGCAACAGTGTTGGAGGTGGTAATTGAAGGTGTTTAGGTCATGAGGGCTCCACCCTCATGAATGGATTACTGCTGTAATAAGGGCCCGAGGGCATGGGCTCTCCCCTGCTCCTCTGGCATGGGAGAACACACCATTCCACCTCTGGCAATGAAGCACTATCTTGGAGTCAGAGACTGAATCTGCCAGAGCCCCAGAGCCTTGATCTTAAGACTTCTCAGCCCCTGAAACTGTGAGAACAAATTTCTGTTCTCTATAAATTACCCAGTCTAAGGTATTCTGTTACAGCAGCCCAAAATGAAGACAGTGGTCATCATTAGCTGAAATGCTATGCAGGTTACTAAACTTGAGTCTGTTTCTAGAATGTATAAAACAGGTGTAAGAAATGAGTTGTTACAATTGCAAAGCTCAGGAAACCACCCAAGTACCCATCAATCCATGAGTGGATTAATAAAATGTGGTATATATGTATACCATGGAGTACTATTTTTCTGGATAGAGCTGGGACCCATACTACTAAGTGAAGTATCCCAAGAATGGAAAAACAAGCATCACATATACTCTCCACCAAATTGGTATTAACTGATCAGCACCTAAGTGACACACAGGAATTACAGTAATTGGGTATTGGGCAAGTGGGAGGGGGGAGGAGGCGGCAGGTATGTACATATATGAGTGAGATGTGCACCGTCCAGGGGATGGTCACACTTGAAGCTCAGACTTGTGGGGGGAGGGGGGCATTATTTGAAACCTTAAAATTTGTAACCCCATAATATACTGAAATGAAAAAAAATGAGTTGTTTATGAAGTGCTTGATATAGTAGACCTTCTGTAAGCGGTAACTAACATTAACAGTCTAACACCAACCCTCCAGGAAGCCACATAACAGTTTGTTTAATTTTTACTATGTATTGGTCAGCATTCAATTGTACAGAACAGAATCCACACTGGCTAATTTAGAAGTTTTTTGAAAATTTTATTGACCACAGAATTTATACCATAACCCAGTACATAACCCAGTACATGCATGTCTACAAATGTAATTCAAATAATCTTTACAATATTTAACTTTGTGATATGTGTTGTTCTTTGTCTATTCAATTTTTTAAAATGCTGGCTGTATCTCATTGGGTTGATTGCATGACTCCACTAACAGATTGTGACCCACAGATGGACGATTACATTGTGGGGTATTAAATGGCCTGGAGGGGCAGAAGGACCAAAGAACCAACTTTAGCCTGTGCTTCCAGAAGGTGGGCGGCCCAGAGAACTGCCAGCTCCAGCACTCCATCTGTATGGCCCGCATCCTCAAAACCAGGCCTAGTGACTCTCACCGTGCAACTAACGGACAAGACCTAAGTGATACCCACAACCCTGGTACAAAGGAGCCTGAAAAACACAGTAAAGAAAGCACACTAGCACAAAGCTGCAATAAACGTTAATCAAACTAATCTATAGAATCAGCCCCATATCTGCCGTGAAATGCTGTCACACATACTTCTCAAGCTATGTACTTGGGATGGAAAAACCTAGTGGCCCAAGTATATATTATTACATTCATATTATCCCTATTAAATTGCATATTTTCTTGGATGCATACAGTCTATTATGCTACTTCAGTGAAGGAAACATGTTAACTATGACTAGTACAATTTGTCTGATGGGATGAAATTCAGGGGAACAATCCAAATGTAACAAATTCCCAAGTTACATTTCATTTCATAAACATACCTCTACCCAGTCAACCCAGGATCTACCGAAAGAAAGATAAGCAATTAAAAAAAAAAAACTAAACACAGATTTCTTCTCACCTTCAAAAAGAATCTTAAGATTTAAACAAAATCTTTAGACTTGTGAAGAGAAAGGAAGAACAAGGTAGAACTTTAACCTCCCCTTTTCATCTCTTTTAGTTCAACATATGCAATAATTTGTATCTGTGAAAGAATAAGTTCATTGAATAAAAGGTATTGCTTATGACTTATAGCAATTAAAGCAAAGTAAGTTGGCAGGAGTATCATATATTGAATTAAATACACTTTGCATTTAGGTCGCCACAAAGCAGGTTTACATACAACTATCTACTGCAGAAAAACACAAGAAAGTAAGTTTCTATGTGATCCCAACAGATCATAAGAAATTGAAACATTTTTATAGAAGGTAAAGCTATTAACTTTATAAAAATTCAAAACACCAAAATATTTTAAGCAAAGACTCTTTAATTTGAAGAAAAAGGTACAACTTCTCATTTTCTATTCTCAGCATAAATTTTAATTCTTTCCAGTAGAACCAAAACCTCCTGAACCCCTTTCAGTGTCATCCAAAACCTGAAAAACAGAAAGGTGGTTAAGTCTCGTAGTTAATTTTAGAGCCTTTCAGTTCTTCTTCTCTCCAACTCCTAATGTAAGACTTTTATTCTTGCTATATCATTTTTTCAAAAGGGAGATAAAAAAGAAAATTAAATTTTAATAAAGCCCCATAAATTAGATTATTGGATAATTTTTTAAATCTAAGGAAATAATAGAAGTTCATAGTATATTTAAATAACTTACTAACTATAATAATGCTGTATAATATGAAAAATATTTAAAGAAATTCTAAAACTAAAATTTTAATTTTGCTTAAAATAAGCCTAGTCATATATACTATTTAGTTACAGATAGCAAAATCCTCAAAACTAGACTTTTTTTTCTCTTTAGATAAACTCTCACTATGTGGCCCAAGCTGGTTTCCAACTCCTGGCCTCAGGAGATCCTCCTGTCTCAGCCTCCTCAGTAGCTGGGACTACAGGCATGAACCATTGCACCTGATGAGATTACATTTTTTTCTTCACTTAAGTCTTAAGATGTCATATCACTCACTTTCTACTTAGCTTTTATATTACTTACTTGAACTTCTTCTATTTCTGGATAAAAAATCCGTTCACAAATGAGCTGTGCAATCCGATCACCTTTTTTGACTTCAAAGAAAAAAACACAGAATAGTTTATTACGGTTATTTTATTGATGTATTCTCTATACCCTGTCTTATTCTATGAGAATCTGAAGAGTCAATGTTATTTACACATACACAACTCAGAAAACTCACTGCATTTACGCAAATCTATGTATTTAACATACCTTCAAAGTTCTCTTTGCCAAAATTAAACAGTACAACACCAACATTTCCTCTATAATCTTCATCTATGACACCAGCTGGAGGAAAGAAAAACAATATTATCTTGATTTATGCTATCAGAACACTAGGGGAGTAAGATTTTTCTCAAAATCATTCTGACATAGCTCTAAGATTTTTATCCCTACAATTAAATAAGTCAATCTTGCTCTAGTACTATGTAAAGCCTCAAAACCAAGAAATATTACTAAAATGTAAATAAAAATTAGAAAATGGGTCCTAATTTTCCAACCTGTCACCTTTATCAAATGGTAACCATTTCCTACTTTAAGCTGGGAGTAGTAATTACCATCTCCAAACTACCATCTACTCACTGCACACTTGCCAAAAAGACTATGCGAAAATTATGACTTTGGTTTTAAAGGCTTTTCCTGGTAGCAGCTTCCCACTAATATCCAGATTGAAATATGACTCAGTCACAAATAAAAATGTCAAAAAGCCTGACGACCTGCCGTGGAATCAGTCCACAGCTGACATTGTTAAGTAGCAGTCTTACAAATACTAGAACATTCCATGTTTATAATAAAATGAAGCTGAATTGTACAGTTCATATTCTTCCTCTCCGTTTAATTTGAACCACCATCCTTTCTTGGTGTCTGATTTCTCAGAAGACATTAGCACATAAGCTTAATAATCAATATACTTTTATATGTATAATTGGTACCTATTTTGAGATTATGAACACAGGGACAGATCTTCATAGAACAGACTTGAGCCAGGTCCTTGTCCTGGCCCAGAAAGCTACATTTACCAGACCTGCTAGCATTTATTTTTGAGCCAAGAATTTAAAATGTTTCTATAAACACAAGCACTGATAATATAGGTATACCAGGTCTTCTCATTCTCTTTTTTTATATTGACATATGATTCACATATAATTCATCCATTTAAAGTATACAATTCAATGGTTTATAGAGTATTTAGAATTATAAGCTGGGCATGTTGGCTCACACCTGTAATCCTAGCACTCTGGGAGGCCCAGGTGGGAGGAATGCTTGAGGTCAAGAGTTCAGGACCAGCCTGAGCAAAAGCGAGACCCTGTCTCTACTAAAAATAGAAAAAATTAGCTGGCCCTGGCAGTATGCACCTGTTGCCCCAGCCACTCAGGAGGCTAAGGCAGGAGGATCACTTGAACCTAGGAGTTTGAAGTTGCAGTGAGCTATGATAATACCACCGCACTCTAGCCAGGGCGACAGAACAAGACTGTCTCAAAAAAAAAAAAAAAAAGAAAGAAAAGGAAAAAAAAATATTGTATTACCATCACAAGTCAATTTTAGCACATTTTCGTTACCTCCAAAAAGAAACCTCCTACCTATTAGCAGTCACCCTCCAACAACCCCATCAATTTCCTTTTATACATGTTAATTCTGTCCCCCTCAGTTTGTGAAAGGCTGAACGGGATTCACATGAACCTAATTGAATGTAGCTCCACATTACATCTTACTTCTTTTAACACCCTATCCCCTAAAAAAAACCTCTTATGAAGGGGGGAAAAAAAACGAAATAAAAATAATCAGAAATTTAGCTCAATGGGCACTAATGCTGTCTGCTCATATTTCTAATTAGTTGAAGGTTAACTGAAAAAAAAAATAACCTTTTTTTAAGAACAAGGATAATTCCTAAGTACACTCCTTCAATTTTCTCATACAGGAAAAAAAGGCAAACTCTTAGTTCCACCATGGGGAAAAATACTCAGAAAAATCAACATTTTAGATTTTTCCAGTAGATTATAGTAGAATTTTAAACGAACCCTTGTGCTTTATGAATAAATTACTAGGGACAAGTGAATCTGAATTTAAGCACTTCTTAAAAGGTTCCTGATGCAACACTTTTAGGAGTTTGAATTAAAGATAAATCAATATTTAACGGTGAGGATAAGGGCAACTCTAAGAGTGGGCTGAAAAGCAGCAAAAGCAGTTCATTTCACATCTGGACTGAAAAAAACAGTTCTTTTCTAGTTGTACAGAGACAACTTTGACCAATTCAAAGAATACTAAACTCTGGTTTCTTTCCCCACTGCCAAGTGACCATGAGTTTAGACCTTAATATTTATGAAAAAAATTGATATAAAGATGGGACCAACTGTTTTCTCCATTACCTATTTGGAGAAAATTTTGACCCCAGGAATGATTTAAATTATATTTAACAAAGAAAACCCTCAGCATAGCATGTTGTTCCATGCTGGAACGAATGACCATAGAAGGCTATGGAATTTCCATGCTGGGAGATTTTGAGGTATAGGTTAATAACCCACCTATCTCAAACGAGTCAGAGAAAGATAATGTGTACTAACTGACTTCTGAACTCTTCTGTTCCCACTTTATCAGAGAATTTTTTTATTTTTTTGAGACAGAGTCTCACACCCTGTTGCCCTGGCTAGAGTGCCATGGCATCTGCCTGGCTCATAGCAACCTGAAACTCTTGGGCTCGAGCAATCCTACTGCCTCAGCCTCCTGAGTAGCTGGGACTACAGGCATGCGCCACCATGCCCGGCTAATTTTTTCTATATATTTTTAGTTAGCCAACTAATTTCTTTCTATTTTTAGTAGAGACGGAGTCTTGCTCAGGCTGGTTTCAAACTCCTGACCTTGAGCGATCTGCCCGCCTCAGCCTCCCAGAGTGCTAGGATTACAGGTGTTAGCCACCGCGCCCAGACTATCAGAGAATTTTAAAGCTATCCAAATAATGCAAATATATATAAGTAAAAGCTAATAATGTTCCTTTACCCTCCTTGAGGTAGTCAATGTTACAGTAATATGCTTTACATGTTACTTTACTTTTCCATTGAAAATATCATAGATATCCTTTGAGATTAACATATATATAAATCTTAGCTATTCTTTTTGGATATAAGATATGGAAATACAGTACCCATTATTTCTATGTAACTATTCTCTTACATAATAACATTCAGGTTGCTTTCACATTTTGCTATAACAAAGCAGCCTTTGCATTATGTCCATGTACATTAATTTTTTTTATCCTCATCAAATAGATTGTAAAAACCACTTTCCTAGCTCAAAGGGTGTGTGTATTTTCAATTTTAAAGGCTACTGCTACATAATTTCGCAAAAAAGGTACAGCCATTCAATATTTGAGAATGTCCATTTGCAAAATCCTTGCCAGTACCAGATGGCAGTAATCTTTTAAATTCTGGGCAGTGTGATGGGTAAAAAATGTTATCTCATTGCTTTACTTTGCATTTCCCTGACAATTAGTGAGATTGGACTTTTCCCCTCCCATATGTTTGTTTGACATTTACACATTATCATCTCTATGTTGTTGATGATTTTTTTTATTCTCTGTTCTTTTTCATATGAATTGCAAATTACTTGTTTTTTGACTTTATGGTATCTTCTACCACACAAAAAGTCCCTTTTTGTAAAGACCTCTGCTACATATCTGAACAGTAATCACATTAGGAGTACTCAAATGGTTACGTGTCTTGAATTCTGCAGAGCCAGGTGATCTTACAAGATTTTACACTTGGGGCACAAAAATGTGAAAGGCTTTTGACTGACTAAAAGAAATGAAGTCATTTGAAGTCAATTAAAATGTATGGCAGAAAAAAAGGCCCTCAATACTTTTTCTAGCATGAATGCCAATGGTATAAAAAAATTCAATAGCTTCAATTTCACTTACTTAACCAATTGTCATTTGACCCTCAAGAAAAACCCAAAATATATTCCTTCTCTGCATAAGGGATATTTCTCTTCATGAGAAAGCAGAAAGTATCTTGAAGTTATCACTGGAAAAATCATGCATTGGAACTGGCAGAGTGATTAACTGACTTCAGGCAACAGTTTTACTGTGTCAAGAGTTTGGCATGTCATTTGTTGGAAACCTTTTTTAGTGAAAACTATCCACACCTACCAGATGTGAATTCTGAACAGAGTCCTGCATACTCAACTTTTCCCTTTGACCTTTATTTACAGCCTGGGATTTGTAACAACAGCTCTCTTCAGAAATAAAAACCGTTGCCAACCATGATAAACTTGTGCCTAAGAGACATGTTTAAGATACTCTGCATCCAAGAACACACCACAATGTAATTTTATAAATAACACCATACCAACCACCAGGCAAACTAACTTTCCATTTCTTTTACATGATTTTTTCCCCCAGGGTTGTTTCAAACAGAGCAAAAATTAGTAACAAAGTTAAAAAAAAAAAAAAAGTTTCCACATTAAAAAAAAAAAAATCAGTGAAGTCCCTAGGGGACAGAAATTATAACTTACAGAATCTAATATGTGCCAAGCACTGTATTAGATGCTTTACATACACTGTCATTTAATCCTCCCTACTCTCAGAGGCAAGCACACTAATTTCCATTGTACAGATGAGGAAACTAAGCCTCAAAAAGGTTAACAGCTAGCTAGTCAGTGACAGGGCTGGGACCTAAATCCAGTAGTTATTCCAAAGTTCTATTCCTTTCACAACCTTTTGAAATTTCCTTAAAAATACACAAAACCTTTAAAACCCTAACGTAAAAGCCCAAAAGAACAAAACTGAACCTGTAAAAGCATTTTTGAACATCAAGCATAACTTACTGAGCCCGGGAATCCTCAATCCAGAGTGGGCTGTCCATGTCAATCCCTGCTACATACAACTCGGCTCCCCTTTAGTCCCTAAGAACTAAGAACTTTCAGGCTCCTGTCTTGCCCTACAGCACCACCTAGTGACACCATGGGGAGACACCAGGTCCTTCTAGGGGTGGAGAACCTGTGTCCTTGGGGCCACATGTGGTCTTCTGGATCCTTGAGTGTGGCCTTTTGACTGAATCCAAATTTTACAGAACAAATCCTGTTAATAAAATCTAATAATGGCTTCAGTTTTGTCTGGGATAGCCAGGCCTTATCACATGCTTAACCCCTGCAGTGGCAGGAAACAGTGAGCTAATTTAGGACAGTTTACTTGGTGAAGGAGATGGGGCAGGGTAGTCTCCAGATTTAATTGCAGTGGAAAAGAACAAGGGGGTTGGAATCACATGGATAGAGACTTCTTTGGGCTCATCTCTGAGCCAGTTTCCTGATCTGTTAAAAGGCCTTGATAAAGTAGCTCTGTAAAAATGGATGGAGGAGGAGAATTTAGCATACCTACTTAATGTGAGGACCAAAATGTCTTGTTAAGTGGAACACTTATTATTGATGGGGATGAAGAAAAGTCAGGACATCAAGTCTGAGATCTGAAGTAAGGAACCATGTCAGCATAGTGAGATTTTCCTTATAAGATGGGGTGGTTATAAGTCCTACAGCAATTGCTTCCAGATGAACAGGCAATGAAAAAAAAAAAAATCCTACAGCAAAGTTGGTTAGCAGTGAACACTGAGGCTTCTTCATGAAAGGGCCACGTGAGGAAGTTGTCAACTCTGAGAGACATAAGCAAGGCTTCATTATAAGGAAAATAGGTGCCACTGAGGACTTTCTTGACAAGAATATTTTTCTTTTAACAAACTTTTTGTTTATTTTTTTTAAAGACATGATCTTGCTCTGTTGCCCAGGGTGGAGTGCAGTGGCCTGATCACAGCTCACTATAACCTTGAATTCCTGGGCTCAAGCAATTCTCCTGGCTCAGCCTCCTGAGTAGCTTAGGAATATAGGCGCATATCACCACATCTGGCTAATTTTTTTATTTTTGTAGAGATGAGGTCTTGCTCTCTCTCTCTCTCTCTCTCTCTCTCTATATATATATATATTGCCCAGGCTGGTCTCAAACTCGTGGCCTCAAGCTATCCTACTGACTTGGCTTCCCACCCAAAGTGCTAGGATTACAAGTGTGAGCCATCTCACCCAGCGCCCTGAATACTACCTTTCAAACAAAGACAAAGTAAATACTTACAAACATTTACAGAATAAAAAAGTAAATATATTACCTCCTACATCTATAAAATGTTTGGCAGCCAAGCCAGAACGCGGAGCTGAAAATCAAAAAAGAGACATTAGTTATTTTAAGGGGAGGGGAAATACTGGATATAAATAATGCACTTTGAGCATGTTATTCTCTTCTTCTACATCTATTATTTTCATCTTAACTTTAGCAGATGGTTCTGAATTAAAGAATGTTTTTATCATACTGGATTACCAAAGTTGGAAAGACTAGTTTAGAAAAACTCAACAAGGTTTTAATTTAAAATCAACTTAAACCACTCCCACATGATTCAGTCAATTGAGGATTGATTTGTGGTGTAATAGATGTGAGAGAAGGACTGCTGGAATGAACTGAAAAGTAAACAAGTGGGGACAAGCATAGACTGCTTTCCTTCAAGAAATTTGGCCACAAAGGGGAAAAAAGAGAAGAGTTGACTTTGGTTTCAAGATGGGAGATCTGAATATGTACAGTGTAGATGGGAAGGGAGACAGAGTGGGGAGGAACAAACCTAACCAAATGGTAGCAGAGCATAGCCTAGAACTTGGGACTCATCCTACTCAGGATTCAGATGCCAAAAGATGTGCCTGTATGAAACACATAAACCAGAATAAGACAAAAGGCCTAACATCAGTCAACTAAAATGCCTAAAACTAAGCCTCGAAATTTCAATTCCAGTATACTTTTTATCCTAAAAATGAAAAAACAAAAGCTAAGTTTACACGTTATACTTCCTGACTTAAATAAACATCAGGCCTATCATTAATTATCCTAACTTTTAGTTTGTCGTTTTAGAATAATTTAAATCAGGCACTTTGTCAATAAATGCTGCTTCTTCCTGCCTTGACCTTTATTTCACTCCATCTCCTGCCCTTTCTCCTCACCAAAAATTCTAAAACCGCAGTTAATGATGCCAAAAAGAGATGAGGAGACAGCCCATCTTGTTTCTTTTAAGGACTGAAGTATTAGCTGTTTTCCCACTCATGGCTGTCAAGATTGTACTAGTCTAGCTTCCTTCCCCAAAGGCAAGAGGTCACAGTTCCATTTGCCCCTTTATGTAGACTTTGAAATCAGTCAAAAAGTATTATGCTCTTGAAGAGAAGTTTTGAACTCTCTCTGGCAACAACTGACTCGCTCCAGAAAAAAATCAACCTCGTTGAATTGCACTCCATTTTGTCCTAGCTCTTCTCAATGAGGCATTTCTCTCTAGAACACTAAAATATCCTTTACCCTAAAGCCATGGGAGGACACCCAAACAAGAACAGGTTAAGTGGGCTGATACCCTCTGAGACCAACAGAGGTCAGAAGTTTGCCTCTCATAATATAAAATGCCATGTGCCATTATCCAAAGCCTCTCTGTCTCATTCAACAAGTATCAGCCACTCTAATCATTGTCTTCACAAAGAAATCTGACCTCATATGCAGTCAGAAAGGGGGAGTTGACATTAGCATTAGAAAAAGCTGTAGTTAAAAATCACATAAGTTTTTAGTTTTTCTCCCAGTGAGGTGTTCTGAGAACAATATCCTAGGCCAATATGAGGCTAAAAGCTGCAGTAAGGAAGCAGAATAGGCAAAAGGAGATGGAGGCTAAAGCAGATATGTAAATAAAGGTTTTCAAATGGCTGTATTTGCCATCATGGGTGGTGCTTCTTGACACAGCCCAAGCAATATCCCTTATTACCCCATTTATTACCCCAAATGAAACTAAGATGAAAGAACATATCACAAAGGAAGGGCTTGACAAATAGTTACCTGTTTCTTAAATCACTTACCTACTCTTCCATAACACCCAGAAGGAAGAGCTATCTGAATGTCTGTCTTCACAACAGCTTTCTCCATAGATGGTATTGTGTAATCATAGGCACTAAGAAAGTATTAAAAAAAAAACGGTTTATAAAATTGTTTATGTTTTCTTTCCTGTGAGCAAGCATACAGAATGGGTTTATTAATATATTTCATAAAATAATTCATGCAACCTTGGTTTCTATAATCAATCTTGCTATGATGAATTTCCAATTCATCTTTTTAAAAGCTTATGAAGGTAGAAGTAGTTTTTTTGGCTTATTAAAATGATGACTGCTTTAAATAAAATAATTATCTGTGAATATTTTTGGTGGAGGAAAGAGATGTAGACATTGTATTAATAAATGTCTTTGCCCCTGAACAAAACTTTATTGGGAAACTTAGGTACAAATTGGCTTGAGGGGGCAGAAGGTCAGACTTATGCTTCACTAACATAGTATAAAAAGAGGAAAATGAAGAAAAAGTCCTTAATATGTGCCAGGCACAGTTCTAACTGATTTACATACATTTACTGATCTTATTCTCACAACAATCCACTATGTGATTAGGGAAAACCTGTAGAAGGACAGAAACCTTATATATATGCAAAAAGAGTCTGTTTCCGTAATCCTCTCGGTGGATGTTTCTACCTGAGGCAGCAGATGGCCTGAAAATAAAAGCTAACGTGCCATGGAGCTCTACAGCTCACGAATTGAGCCTTCTCCGCGGGGATAGCGACGGAGGAGGCAGAAGGCAGCCCTTCTCAGCCTCCTGGCCAGGGCCGACCACCCAGGGCGCGCGGAGGCCCGGAGGCCCCGACTCACCTGTACAGGTCGTAGCCCGCAGCCCGTGCGGACCCCCGGGTCGGGGCCGTGGCATGCTCCGAGAGCCGGGCAAAGCGGAGCTGCATGCCGCCCTCCTCGGCGGGCCGGGCCCGCTTGCTGGGGGATACAACAGTGGTCTCTTCAGAGCAGGGCATGGCGGAGTGAGAATGAATGGAAAAAGCAATGGAGAGAGCACAGCATGAGCCCGAGGCAGGCAACTTGCCAAGAGCTAAATTTCCCGCCAGCTCCTCCCCACTCCTGGACGGGTCCACTGGCCTGGCTGAGAGGGGAGGCAAGATTCAAATTTTGGGTTAGAAGCCCTTCCCGAAAACCGGATTTGGGACTGGAAACTCCGGAGCCTTAGTAAATCTTTCAAACTCAGCGCGCGGGGCTAATGTAGGGGGTAGCTTCGGTGGCCTCGGTCACACACACACTAGAAAGCCACCGTCGCCCCCCCTCATTAGGGGACCGCATGGACTCGCTCCCGCGCGCGTAGAAGCCGCGCCCCCTCCCAAGTCCCCAGTCGCCTGCCGCCGGAGGGCGTCCTTCCGGGTGGCGCGGGTCCTGTCGCCCGCCGCTCCCGGGCTCGGCGGGGGCCGCGGGACGCACGTGCAGCACCCCCACGCCTCAGAAAGCGCGCCCTGCCAGCCCGGGCCCCGACTTTACTGGCTCCGCGGCAGGCTCGGCTCTGGCGGCTGGCGCTGGACGCGGTCCGGAGTGTCCGGAGCAGGGCGGCTGGGCCCAGGGCTCGGCCTGGCCAGAAGAGTCCCGCGGCCTCGGCTCCCTGCCGGGCGCCTGGCGCGTTTTTAAACACTGAGCGGAGCAGAGACGGAAGGAAATGGTAGCAGAGTGCCGAGCGAGGGCATCGGGGTGTCATTTCCCTCAAGATCTGGGCTGGTCGTCCCGCCAGCGCCTCCGGGCGCGCGCCAGGCCTGCACCCAGAAGACGTGTCCCGGCACATGACCTCGGAAGCAGAACCGCTGCCTCCCTCCCCCTTCATCCTTCCCCAGGCCGCCATTTTCCGAGAGCGCCCGCCAGGCCCCGCACCTGGGCTGACCTACCTGGGGCGGCACCGCCCGCGGCCATGACGCCCTCGGGCTCTGATCTCAGGTGCCCCCAAAGCGACGGGAGCGCATCACGGGGCTGTTGACAGCTCCTGCTGCACCTGGTGTCTAGGCTGCGCGCTCGATTTCCACGCAGCACCGAGAGCGCAAGACGATGTACTGTTTACTCTTAAAGGGGGCGAGGGGCGCGGGCGTCGGAATGACTGCAGGGACGACGCCCTTAAAATCCTAGCGCTGAGCCTTGGAATGACCACAACCAAACACACAGGGGGAACCCGGTGGCTAGCATTCGCACAAAGGTCCCGGGCCACGGTGGTGTAACTTACAGCGGAGATGAACAAATAACTCTAGATCATTGCAAACTGATTTTTATGGAATATTAGCATCCCTAGTTATTTCCGGATCTAGCACAAAAATCTGAAAACCCTATTGAATGCACTTTAATTTTCAAAGTCAGTAGAAGCTGTAGGGCAAGTTTTACAGAAATGACAAGTAAAAAATGTTCGGGAATTACTGGTGAAGTTTTCAGACTTCCTTGCTGTGCCTTTCCTCCCAGGCTCCACTTTTTCACACTCCTTAGCTGGCTCCTCATCTCTTCAGTGTTGGAATTCCTCTGGATGAGGTTATGGAATATACATTCTCTTCCAATACTTTAAATATTTACCTATACCCTGAAGACTCCCAAATTTATACCTATAGCAACACAATCTGAGTCCTGCTACTTTTCCAACCTCATCATGAGCCATCATCAGCTCACTTGCTCTGGTGCTCCGGGCCACAGTGGCTTTCTAACGGTTTCTAGACCCACCAGACTCTTTCTTGCCTTGGTTTTTGCTTCATGTCTTTGAAATCTGTTCATCTCAGGGAGGCCTTCCCTGACAAACTCAGCTGAAGAATCTGCCTTGTCTTGCCCTCACCACCTTTGTCTATCACAATAATTAGTTTCCATTCACACTACTTATTCCTACAATCTGTATATCCTTGTATTTGATTTTCTTGTTTGTTGTCTACTTGCTGTAGTAGAGAGACACAAGCTCCATGAGGATAGGGACCTTATATGTCTTCATTTACCTTTGTATTCCTGGTGTCTGGCTTAGTGCTTGGTTTGGAATGGTGCATGATAAATATTTATTATATGAATGAATGATAGTGATCCTACTGTCTGTAGTCCATCAGACCCTTGTCTATTATCATTTCTCAAAGTCTTTAGGTTTTTCTGTCCACTCCTTTAATTGTTAAGCAAACGCTTTCTCTGTATAATGTTTTTCAAGGGCGACAATGAAAAATAGCAGCCCCTGCCCTACACCTCCATACACCATCACCTCCTCCCCAAGTCTCATTCCTCAGGGGCAAAACTTCCAAAACTTTTGGCTGTTTGTATTGGAACTTACCTCCCTGTTTCTAGATTATATATTGCTATTATTTTTAATGGTATAGAAATTGTCTCAATAGGTTAGTTGAGGATTTAAGTCTCTTACCTCTCTCGCCATTCTGCCAGTAGTTTTCTAACAATGTTTGGATAGGTCAGCAGTTTGTATTTACTTTATCATGACTGTGTAAATATAATTCACTGCTGATATGATTATTTCCTTTTTTACACCTGTCCCTGTCAGCTCAGTAATTGCCTTGTTTTTCCATTTGTCTTTGTTGGTGGTGTATTTGATTTACCTGTTGCTTTTTTTCCCCCTCAAATGCTATAGTGGGTCCCATTCTTCAAACATGTATCACATGGACTGAATCACTAAAACATATCAAATCCCCGTCAGTTCCATTTTTTCCCCTAGAGCTTCCCTCCTTCCCATCTCCATTCTTTTGCTCCAGTCTGTGCTGGTGACTCTCTAGTCCTAGGACTTTCTTCACTCCTCTCTTGTCCTGGTTTTATGGCTCTCTTGTCCTGGTTTTATGGCTCTAGCATCTTCCTCCTAGTGATCTCCCTTGTTTTGCTGAAGTATTATCTCTGGTAATTTCCTAAGAAAGTTCACATGAGAGAGAAATTATTTGAGTCCTTGCTTATCTGGAAATGTAATGACTTCCTTTTTCATAGATCCAAATAAAAATCTCACTTCATTTGTGAAATTTCCTTAAAATCAGTAGTGACCTCTTGCCCCATCTTATCTCTTATAACACCTGCTATATCAGGTATTAGTCACTTAACCATATACTCCCATTGTGTAATCTTCTCATGTATATGCGTTTTATCTTTCACATTAATAAGAGTCATAAAAAAAGTCATAAACTTTTATGAATTCTTCAAAGCACCTACTTCAGTATTTTACACAAAAGTTATTTGTTTGGCTCATTATATACCTAGCACCAAGAAGGCATTCTACTATTTTTTCTGTTAATCTGGATACAGAAAGTGTTTATTATTATAACTTTTCATCCAAGGTTATTTTAGACTGAAAAGAGAAAAGGCCATTAATCCAACTGGAAAAGAGTAAGAGGTTAGTGTTCTAACCCAGTAAGCATTTAATGGGACATTCTTTATGACAATGGAAATATTAGGTTACTAACTATAAAATGTTTGATTTCCTTAAGTACTAAATTTGACAGTTAATATCTCTGACATTTCACTTTGACACTTCTTGTTTTATTTTTATTGTGAAAGTACATCCATAGTCTTTCAAACACATATTTTGGCTTGTGATTATCTTTCACATTCTTTTTAGAGCAATTTTTGTGGAACCATGGATAAGTAAAAAAATTCATGTTATTTTCAAATATGAGTTCCATCGTGGAACCGATGCAGCACAGATAGCTCAAAATATCAACGAAGTGTTTGGGAAGGACCTGGCTAATGAACACACGATATGTCAATGTTTGAGAAGTTCCATTCTGGTAATTTTTATCTTGAAAATACTCCATGTGGGCAACCTAAGACAGGTGAATAGTGATGAGCTGAAAGCTGTAGTGGAAGCAAATCTATCTCAACCTACACATGAATTAGCAGCGAGGTTTGACATTACTATGCCAATAATGTTGGATTTGAAACAAAGCAGCAAGGTAAAGAAGCTAGATAGATGGATTCTTTTTTTCCTTTTTTCTTTTTTTTGAGACAGAGTCTCACTCTGTTGCCCAGGCTAGAGTGAGTGCCATGGCGTCAGCCTAACTCACAGCAACCTCAAACTCGTGGGCTCAAGCGATCCTACTGCCTCAGCCTCCCGAGTAGCTGGGACTACAGGCATGCGCCACCATGCCCAGCTAATTTTTTCTAGATATATTAGCTGGCCAATTAATTTCTTTCTATTTATGGTAGAGACAGGGTCTCACTCTTGCTCAGGCTGGTTTCAAACTCCTGATCTTGAGCAATCCACCTGCCTTGGCCTTCCAGAGAGCTAGGATTACAGGTGTGAGCCACCGTGCCTGGCCGATAGATGAGTTCTGTATGAATTAAACAAGCATCAGAAGAGAAATTGTCTTGAAGCTTACCTTTCTTTTCTTTGCTGTCGTGACATAAAGGTGAACCACTACTATACCATATTGTTACATTTGATAAAAAAATATATTCTTTTTGACAATTGCAAGCTTTGGGCACAATGGCTGGATAAATCTGAAGTGCTGAAACACAGTCCAAAACTGAATATTCATCAAAAAAAAAAGCTAATGGTGTGTGTTTGGTGGTCCAGCGCTGATATTATCCACTATAGCTTTATGAAACCTGGTGAATCCATTACAGCAGATGTCTACTGCAACTGATTGGATGAAATGAGGATGCTTGCAACGAAGCCACTAAGATTGGTCAGTAGAGACAGGCCAATCCTCTTGTAAGAAAATGCTTAACCACATGTCACACAATGTTTTTCAAACTTCAGAGGCTGGATTTGGAAATTCTCTGTCATCCACCATATTCACCAGACCTTGCACCAACTGACTACCTACCACTTCTTCCAGGCTTTGGAACACTTCTTGCAAGGAAACCTATTCTATTCTCAACAAGCTGTGTAAAACGCCTTTTGCAATTTCATTGCCACTTGCTCTCCAAGCTTCTTCCCTGTTGGCATAAACAAGCTACCATTAAGGTGGTAAAACTGTGCTGATAGTTTAGGCACATACTTTTATTAATTGTACTGCTTCTTGTTTGAGACATAATAAACCACACTTTTGATTCGAAATTAGACATTTCCTATTTAATGATCTAATATAACTCAATGTAAACATATATCTTAAATTCAAGATAACTGCAGTTAAGAACTAGACATGTTCCAACCACAATTTATTTCATGCTGTTGTCTTTATCAGAATATAGGTATCCTATCAGTCATGCTGATTAATTCAGTTACATCAGTCTAGTGCCAACCTGAACCTTTTGAGCAGTGGTCCTTTGGGCATCAGGGACCAGTTTCATGAAAGACAAATTTTCCATGGACCCGAGTTGGGGCGGGTGCAGTGTGGTGGGCAGTGGAGCTCTGCAGCCTGGTCCCCGGCAGGCCACAGACAGTGCTGGTCTGCAGCCCTGGGGGTGGGGACCTCAACTTTTGAGAATACAAGTAGGTCCTTTACAAGCAAAGTTGTCTTTCCTACCTTTGCCATTATAGGAATTTCTCCTTTTAACAAAGACGTACATGGTGATTACTTTATGCCAGTTATATTCTAAGTGCTTTAAATATATTAACTCATTTAATCACAACAACTAGAGGAAACAAGTTCTATTATTATCCCCACTTTACAGATGAGAAAACCAAAGCACAGAGATGTTAAATAACTTGCCCAAGATCACACAGCTCACAACTAGAAAGAGGTTAAACCATGATTCAACTTCAGCTAGTCTTGCACTTAGCCGCTATGCTCTGTAGGTTTATATCTGCCCTATTGGGTCTCCAGTAAATCTTAATACTGAGCCTGCTTTTGGTGCCAGAACACCAAAATTCAGAAGGGCTCCTTTGTTTCAAGCTAGACATTTTTACACCATAGAGCAAAGCACCAGAGTCAGGCTCCGCATGGGTGAGAAGTATGCTTATCTTTTGTAAAAAGGCAATTGCAATAGGGGAGCTGGGAAGAACTGGTATACAGGCTGATCAATTTAAGTAAAAAAATACATATGTATGTTGGCTAGCTGGAAGTTCATTCTTTTACAACTGTTTGGTCCAAACTACCATCAGGAAATCTGGAATGTCTTTATGTCCCCCCAGGGGTATATATGGCTAAATCTAAAAACTCTTAACTAGTGTATAACTGTGAAATCCACAA